CCTGACCATCCAGCCAGTTCTCCACCCAAGAAATTTATCATACAGGCTCAATAATGAGAAATAAAAAAAACTCTGGACTTTTTACACTTTGACTCTAATATATGTTAGTGTTAACCTTCTGAATAGAAAGATTGCTTCAAGTTTTGAGATAATTTCAATCTGAATGGTTTCAGAGGAGACCAGATGTGGAGATCATATCATCACTTATCTATTGTCTCTTAGATAGGTCCTGAAGCATCTGTTCTAATTTATGTTGGAAACACTGGTCTAGTTTAGTGTGGTTAAAGACTATGAGCAGTTTTATAACACAACAATAGCTGAGCTGAGCACGTGTTGGTGATGGTCAAGCTTTGAGTAGGAGGCTGACTAGGTGATCTACAGAGGTCAGCTTGTCTGACTATAATTCTGTATAATTCTGATGACTCAATCTGTAAGTACTCGAGAACTTTCCTTGGTTTTGCAAAGGCTTTTGTTTTGTCTTTATGCAAGTTAGTCTTCTGTATTTATAGTAGTATTTGATGATATGAAGAACATGAAAATCAAACTTGGTTATTTAAAAAACCCAACTATTTGAGTTTTAATGTTTGTCAAAAAGTTTGTATAAACAGTATACACAAGACTTAGCAGTTATCAGCTTGAGGCTTAAGAATCCTCAGGATCCACCTGCATGACAAGCAGAAGCTTTACTCTCATTCTCACAGATTATGATTTTTTCTTTTTATTCGGGCCAGGCTGAGCTCTGTTTCGTCATGACTGACTTGCTGTAACTACCCAAACTTAGCTAGTTTAAAGCAAGGTTTGGTGTGTCTGTAATGAATGCAATAAATGGTTGCTAGACCAAAGAAGTGCAGAACTGATATTAACACACTGTCTTTGGTGTCATTCCAATGCTAAAAACCCTTGAGCGTGGAAATACACTTTTCCATATTTAGGAGTACCTGAAAAAATATTTTATTTTATGTTTGCTGTGTCTGTTCTGCTTTAAACCTGTCTGCAGGTATGGAAAAGTTGAAGCCACTCGAATGCTGTTGGAGAAGGGGAAATGCAATCCAAATCTTTTGAATGGCCAACTTAGCTCTCCTCTTCATTTTGCTGCTGGAGGTGGGCATGCTGAAATAGTACAGATTCTACTAAATCATCCAGAAATTGACAGAGTAAGTTCTGTTTGGGTATAGAAATGTCAGTTTAGCAACAGTTTCTAGCTTTTGTATGTGGAGTATTTTGTATCCAGATCACAATGTGTGAACACAATGATCCTGTTTAAAAACATTTAAGTATTTTTTGGTAATCTCTCATTACCTCTACTTTTCTCATTGTATATCAATTAAATATTTGAACCCTGGGACCAAGGATTTTAATTATCTAAAAATATGTGTAAATGTTTACTTATCTCCAATGAAAACAATATATTAACAGTGTTTCTGTTTATGTTGGTAGCACATTACTGATCAACAAGGAAGATCTCCACTGAATGTCTGTGAAGAGAACAAACAAAATGAGTGGGAAGAAACTGCAAAACTGCTGAAGGAAGCCATAAATAAACCTGTATGAGTTTATTTTCTAAATAGTTTAAAGTTTATATTTAATTTGTACATAAGCTTGTCAAAGAGCTAGGCTTACTTATAGCTGTTATTGGAAATGTGTGGTATACTGAAATTGTTAGTTGTAAATATTGACAAACTGACATTTTGTCTCTTTAAATGTTTCTGTCTACAGTTATTGCTTGAGAAATAGATGTAAGACCTTAAATGTGATATTTTGGTATGTTGTAGGAGCATCACAACAGCTACCAATTTTCTGTCTACTTTTGATCATACAACAATCAGATTTCTTTATGCGTTGTCATCTTACATGTTGATAAACAGGAGCATTCAGCTGGCTAAATGCAAGCCTGTATTTAAATAGGCTTTTCTTCAGTTAGTCTGTGTAGGCTTCCTTGGCAGTTAGTGGAGATCTAGCCAGGATAGTAAACAAAATTTACAATGTCATTCCTCTCATTCTGAAGTAGGTTTAAAATTAGCCAAATTAAATAAAACCACTTGTTTCTTTTCTTTTACTTCAGATGCAACTTGTGTCTCTGAAGGTAGGTGGCAGTAAATGTGTCAGATTTTCAAGATATTTTAAAAAATAACTAAATTTTGAAAAGATAGAAATTACTTCATTAGGAGTCTCAGTAATTAGGGCAGCAAAAATAGACTGATGTTTTCCATTCCAGCCTCATTTTCAGTCAGTTCTCATTTTCCAAGGCATTCATCTTTTTTTCCAGAAGTGTTTAGGAACTCAGATCTTGATGACTAAGTGGATTTGCAGAAGGGAAATAACAAAATCCTGTAACTTTTTTATTCAAGCAGCTGAAACATTTAACCTGTTAGATAAAAACAAGAAGTTTCACAGATTTAGGACTTGTGTGTGTATGTTTTAAGCACCTGATTTATGTTCAAGTAAGTCTTTCAGGAGGCATATTCTGGGCCCACATCAGTGAAAGCTATGGGAGTTCTGAAGGGAAAAATGTTTTTTTTATTAGTAATGGTCTAGAAGTGCTAAAAGATCTTAGTGAGATTGTATTCTTATTCTACTGGTGTCTTTGTAAAGGGTAATGCTTCCTTCTGAAAAACAAGTCTTTTTACTGTAGACTAATGAGGGGAATAATTCGTAACCTGCCAGTAATAGTGAAGTGGACATTTTGGGATATGCATAAGCAGTTGACCCCAAATCCTGCAGGCAACTTTTGAATGCCTGTGTGGCTTTGAGTTCAACAAAAGTGAAGTCCTCATAATATCAGTAAGATATTTCTTGGAGTCATTGTGGTAAAAAGCACTGTATAAGAACTTGCATGAAGCAAGCAGTTTTGATAAATAATAAATATGCAGGAGTTGTGCAGTGTTATTTTTCTCAGCAGCATGGGTGGTGCTGAACTATGGTAACATTGCTTTCCTCTTCAAAAGCACCAACAGGATTTTAACAAGTTCTTTGTTTAATATTTTCCAATTTTTGTGTAGTATGAAAAGGCACGAATTTATCGTATGGATGGGTCATATCGCTCTGTTGAGTTGAAACATGGAAACAATACTACTGTACAGCAGATAATGGAGGGGATGCGTTTGTCTCAAGAAACTCAGCAGTACTTCACTATCTGGATCTGTTCTGAGAACCTCAGTAAGTAACAAGGAAGATTGTTGTACTTCAGAGTTTGTCATTGGTTTTTTATTTCTTTGCTTTTAGAAAAAAATAGGAAAATAGGAAACACGCTCGCTGACGGTTCTGTATTAACCTCTTCCTATCAGCTTTTAAAAGCCATCCTTTAGGATTTAATTTGTATCGAGACTGGCTGTTAATACACTTTGCTCCTGCCAGAGACTCTGTAATCCCTGTAGGTCTCATTTTTAATATCTTTTGCACGGGGAGTGAAACCAGTTTTTCCATTTACTCTGCTTAAGTTTTCGTTCAGTAGATAAACGCACAGTCTTTACAGCCTGATGTCTTCAAACTGTGCTTTCAGAGCTATAAAGAGCTTCTCCCTTGTAGCCATAATTTTGGGTACCCCCAGTAGGTCTGACCCTGTATCACTGTGGCATCTAGAATGCATTTCGTCTAGGAAGATGAGGCTAGTTCAGATTGCCTTTCTGTTATAGGGCACCTTTGCTGTCATAGTCCTTACTGCTAATTCACTCTGATTTTAGTGGTATTTTCTTCCCAGAGTATCTGAAATTGGATGCATGTAGTTGTCTTTACCAATGTTTAAGCTATTTAAAACTAGTAATTAAAGTAAAGCTGGTTAATGTTTTTTTCATTAGGTCTTTTAATTATATGAATTTTCATGTGTTTTGCACCAAAATTATTTTTGATAAACAAGTTTTCATATATGTTTGGTGAGAGAGAATTCTGATGCAAATTGCCAGTATTACATTTGCTGTGGTTTTTGGTATTTCTGATCTAAATAAAAAGTATATTATAGTTGTTGTTTGATATATGTAGCAAAAGATAGAGAAAAACAGAAAAGAGTCAATGATTGATTGTTTTGTCAGAAAATGTGGTAAACAGTACTGCTGCAACAAGGTAGCTATGGGACATGTTATAGTGGATGGACAAAGCACAAATCAGGTCTTGTAGGATACTGTGTTGACAGTACCGTTAACACTGAAGCCTTGCATTTCAAATTCTGTTTGCTGTTGTCAGTCTTCCAGTACAGTGGCATTGTTACTTTTTTTAATCTATAAATATTGCAGGAAATCTTTTCTTCATTCTTCTTTAATCTTTTACTCCCAGGCACACCATTTGCCTTTTTACTTTGCTGTAATGTCTGGAAGAAAAGGAAGCATTTGAGTGGTGAAGTCTTGTTGCTCGTGCCTTTTCTAAATATGTGTGTCATGTTTTACTGAAATCTTTGAAGTATTGCCTTTGCGTTTGAGGGGAAGCGCTCACTGCTACATTGTTTAAAAACCAGTAGCACCCTAGATATTTAGTCTGTTCAGAGATGAGCCAGCTTCTGATTTATGACTTCAGACAATTAATGGACAAGTTTAATTATAAAATTTATTTCTTGCAGTCTGTGTACAACTGTAAAGACCCTCGTTTTCTTTTTCGTAGGACAGGTAATGTTTTTCTGTATTTGAATATAAGGTGGGTAAGTTGAGTGAGCAGATTATTCGCAGTGAAAAGATGTTGCACTATAACAGTTCCTTTGAAGTTTTTCATATAATGTGAAATGTTACAATGTAAAAGCCAGAGTGCAAGGGTGAGGCAGATACAGCCTTCTTGTTCCTCACCACTAGAAAACAGCCAAGCAGTAGTAATCACAAAGACAGGCAGGGTAAGTGAAAGAGGGTAAATAAAGGTATGGACTCTAGTACATAGTAGGACTATAGTCGAAAGCTCTGTATTAATTTAATTTCTCATATATGAAGGAAAACATGAAACATTGACTGTAGCCTGCTGTTTTACGGGCTAAAAAAAAATCATGTCTGTTCTGAAAAGCTTATGGTTTATATATGTACAAAAATGGCAAATATGTTTATAAGTGGTATCTGTATTTTTCTGTCAGAAATGAGATTGTTTGACTTAGTATTTCTCTCTTAATGATTAACAGTTGTTTTTGAGGTCCGTCTTGGTAATCTATTACATTTTTAAATATCACTTGACTCTTGAGGAGCTGAAAATAACAAATGTTCATCACTAGTGCATTTAGTGAATTGATACTCTTGAGTTTTGTCAATAAATCCATACTTTCAAAACCTTTTATATATAGCAGTTTAGAAAACATAGGGGAAAATGTATGTTAATGAGTCCTCAGTGTTGGATACTCTGGTTTTGGTGCAGCATTTAATTATGTGTGTATGTTTATAAACAAAACCTGTTATTTTTCAGGCCTCCAACTGAAGCCATATCACAAGCCTTTGCAGCATATTCGAGATTGGCCTGAAATATTCACTGAACTGACAAACTTGGATCCTCAAAGGGAAACTTCACAGCTTTTCCTGAGAAGAGATGTGAGACTTCCATTGGAAATAGAAAAAAAGGTCTGCACTTGGAAGTGATAGCATGAAATCATGGTCATAGTCAGAACACTCAGACCATCAACACTCAGTGTACTTAATGACTGTAGTAATTTCCAAACTTACTTAAACCAAACATCTCCTTTTATGTAATTTGAGACTTCATGTTCTTCCCTTCCTCCCTGGCTTTTTTTCCCCCTCACTTTCCCACCCTCTCTCTCTGTTCTCTCTCTTTCTTACCTTCCCAACTGTTTGGTTTATCATAAGTCTGAGTACCTTGGTCTTGATCTGTCTTTCATACAGCTGGAAACTACCTGTCCAATTTTCTTTCTCTTCCCTGGGCTGTGACTTTTCAGATATTTAACTGGTCAGTTTCAATGGGATTATTCAAACGTGTTCTTCAAAATGGATTAATGGGTGGGAAAAAAACCCACAGATGTCAGTATTTCTGTGAACCTTTTGATTTGGCATGATATGTTAGTCACTTTTAATTTGTAAATGTGTTAGATTAGTGAAATCTTGAAACAGTCCAATGAAAATACACCATTTTTTCTATTATGAAGCATTACTAAAATGTGCACTTAAGTTGGATCACACCCTTGTCTTCTGTCTCTGAATCGGTCAGAAATTGTATTTATAGTTTCTAATCTCATGTTCTTTTACTAAGAAATCATATTTAAATCTTTTTAACAGATTGATGATCCATTGGCTATACTTATCCTTTTTGATGAAGCCAGATATAATTTACTGAAAGGTTTCTATACGTCACCTGATGCCAAGCTGATCACACTGGCAAGTCTGCTTCTACAAATAGTCTATGGAAATTATGAGAGCAAGAAACATAAACAGGGCTTTCTAAAGTAAGTACGTGTGTTTAAAACTTCAAGTTATGGTTTTAGATTAAGTATTTTTAGATAACGCTTACTATGGAACTCTCACATTTTACGTATGGTATATTTACTATTTTTTCTCCATCACTGAGGTCTAGTTCAGACTAATCGGATAACCCTTGTAGCATTAATAGTAGTTGGACAGGAAGTCTGGAAAATATTCATCTTAATTATTGCAGTCCCAAGCAGAGAGATGGAGGTTCTGTATGCTGTAAGTCCATACTGAGATACACTAATAGCAAAGTGAGTAACCATATTCATGTGAATGCATGTTGGGTGACATGACTGAGACTTTGGACAATGCTGAAACCTCTTACTATGTCCAGTTAGACCAACTTCTGGGATTTGCTTTCCTCCCTCTTTGAAGAGGACAAACCATGCAGAGATATTATTTCTGTTTTCTCATTTGTATGTGAACTGCTGTACTAAATTAATCAAACATAGGACCAGTAGGGCTCTGCCAGATGGTGCTTTTCTCTCCCCTTCTCTCTGCTTGCCAGCACAACAGTAGCTGAGCTGTTCTGGGATACATCTTTTTCCTTCCACGTACATTCCTACAGCCGTATCTGAGCACATCAGGACTCTAGTTCCCTACTGTGTGCACCTTCACTCCACCCACTACCATCTCAACCTCAGTTCATTCATGTAAGAGCAGCTGTGTTATTCTGGAATGCTGCTGTACTTCTCACCTCCTCTCATTCGCAGCATCAACTGACCTGTCTTTTCTGGCCTTGTTGTTGTTGTTGTTGTAGTATTCTCCACCATAAGTGAATCAGGGTGCATTTTCTGCTATGGTTATTCTGATGTAAGTTTGGGCTGCCTCTGAAAGGGCTGACTGTACTGACTACACTTGTCCATTCCTCTCGCTTCCTTCCATTAGGTGCAGAGACTGTACCATTGGAGAGTAAGCTAGGTGAATGAGCTCACTGACTGGAAAACTTTTGGGTGGGGTGTTCAGTAGGTTCAGCTGTTGACCCACCTTGTCCTGCAGTTACACAGTTGGTAGATCGAGTGTTAGGAGAACTGGGTTTAAGTGGGACTGCCCACCTGCAGGAGTGTGCAGTTAAATGCAGCTGGGTTTAATATGAAACTACTCTCTGCTG